TTTTTTTTTTTTTTTTTTTTTTTTTGCTGACGGTTTTACATCCCCATGTTTTTTTTTTTTTTTTTTTTTTCAAGAATAAAAACGTAGCCTAAGATTTCGCATATAAAAATACCGCTTTTGAAACGGTTAGTTACCTGAACCTTTTCATCCACTTATTTCCTTGAAAAAAAAACTTCCTTCTTCTCTTCTTGTTTCTCCGCCCCTTCTTTTCCAGTTCCTTCCTTATTCGACTGTAATCAGAACTGCTTAAACAATAAATTCATTCATATTAGTCTTTTTTTTTTTTTTACAAATGAATGAACTAAGCAAAAGGAAGAAAAAGAAAACGAAAGAAAAAAGAGGAGGAAGGATAAAAGAAAACCAACATTTTTTGTTTTTGCTAGTCTTTCACTAAACGATTATTTCTATGGAAATAATACTATGGTATTGAAAATAAACATAAAGAAAAAGGCAGGTTGCTGCTGTTCACTTATTTTTTTCTGCTTCTGTTATGCTTAAAAACTTTATTTGATACAATCAAAAATAGAGTATCTTTAAAAACACTAAAAGTAAATAAAACAGGATAAAGGCAGTATTCCCAAAAAAGCAGAAAATGTTTGATGGCAGATTACATCGCAGACAAAACAACAAACAAATTGACAGGCGATCCGACAAACAAATGAATGAACAAATGAACAAAAATGTAATGGAGTATTGTTGTTAAAAAACAACAAAGAGAATATATTTTTTAGGGCATTATAAGTTGGAAAAGGACACTGAGAACGGATAGGATCAGCAAAAAAAATAAAAAAAAAGAAAAAAAAAAAGGAGAAGAGGGGGTGGTGGCTATGAAAGGACGAAGACGGGGACGGGGATGAGCGGGGACAGAAGAGGAGGTTCAGGCAAAAGGGAGAAGGAAGAAGGACAGCATAGTTTTGATTTTGGTGAAGCTGATTTAATAACGGCGGAAACATTGACGAAAATTAAATATGATTTGTGTTAATCTTTCTGAAAATGTCTTCAAATAAAATCTTTATGCAATACTTCTTAAACGGCTTTCATTCATTCAAAAAAAACTTTAATAATTTTCCTCACTTTTTATTATCCGTCCAAAAAAGCTGCATTTTCTTCTTCTTTCTTCTTCTTCTTCTTCTTCTTCTCCTTTTTTTTTTTATTGATCGTCTTTCACATCACAAACATTTCCAAGTTACTTTTCGTTGTTGTTTTTTTTTTTTTTACGTTCTATCCTCCTCTAATGCTTCTACGACTCTTTTTTAAACAATTCGTCTATTTTCTATTCTGTTTTTTTTTTCTTCTTTAATGTTACCAAAAATGGAAGCTTTCTTTTCATCCTTATTTTTCTTTAACAACTAAAAATAAAAAAAAAATAAAAACAAAAGAAGAAATAGCAACGATCATTTCTATACGTCATCTTTTTTTCTTTGGATAGAATTCTACAAAAAAAAAAGTCTTCTAATAAACACTTTGCAATGCAAAAAAAATTTAGCAGGTTTGTTTTGTTGATTCACGGAGCCTTATGGCAGTTCTCCAGTGATCACCCAAAATTCTTGTGGAATTACTAAATTAATTAAAGATTTTTTTTTTCTTCGCTTATTGCTTTAGTAAAAAAACCCTTTTGTAAGACTTTTAGCTGCAATGTTCAAGTTAAGGCAAATTTTATTTTGTTTCACTGTTGTCAGTTCTGCTCAAAATTTTTTTAGTCTTTACAGCTGTTCGAAAGAAAACTGGACTTTGCCATCGATATACTGACAGACAGATTCTGAAGCCGCAAAGTCGACAGTAAACAGTCAAGCAAACCACCGAAGAAACTGTATGACAACAGACTGTCGTACCGATCATCCTGCCCATACTGGTCTTTGGGTTTTAATTTTTTTGTATCGTTTTTTTTTTTAACATACTAAACGGTTTCTGATCTGTTTTTTTTTTCCTTTTATATAGTAAAATGCATTTACTCTTCAACTTATCAGCACACAACAAATTTAGTCCTTATCCACGCTTAAGATTTCTTATTGATAGTAAACAAAGAAATCTACAAAAAAAAAAAAAAAAAATCATTATTGGCACGAAAGTGTTTATTACTTTTTTTGATTTTGTTTAAATAAAAAGAAGATTATTTTATATGACGTTTATCAATTAAAATTTATTTTTTGCATGAAATTTTCAAATGTTTTGCACTTTTTTCTAATGCTGACCGCAAATCGCACGAAAAAGGACCTATAGAAAAAATTTTCGTTTTTTTTTTTTTTCAAGTAGAGCGTTCTCAAAGTTGATTTTCTTTATTAAACTTTATTACAACAATAATAAACATCTCATTGTGGTGTTTGTTTTGCTATAACTTTGTGGCGACTGATACAACAGATTCCGGAACAAAACCTTTCCGATTATCCGTCAAACGATTTGCCCAATACCAACCGTGCACTGCCGGTACAATTACCCGTAAAACATCTCCAACATAAACCCGGAGATCAGCAGCATTTGCAGACCGAAATTCTTCCAACACAACAACATCTTTGAAGTTTGATTGCCTATGTAGTTCTTTTTTGCCCTTAAAATAAAAGAAAAAAGTGCTAGTTGAAAGAGGCGGAACAAATTTGTTTGCAAAACAGTGGAAGTCTTCAAAAATTTATAGACGAAATTTGTTCATCAGAATCAGATATTTTTATCAGCACTTTTTACAAACATCAGCTATTCTTTACCGTTTGATACTGGCTTCACTAGTACTTTGAATACTTATAAAGAACAGCAGTAAGGAAAAAAAATCACATAGATCAAAATCAACAATTATGTAACCAGGGAAACTAATCAAGTTTATGTTCCTATTGTCGGCAAAATAAATTATCGCTAAAATATTGAATTAATGAAATAAAGCTGAAAAAAAAAATTACCAAAATATTTGAGCCTTCTAAAAATGCTGCTGGAATAAAACCTTCATTATTTTCTGCATCTTTTACATACGTCCAACTTCGATCCGATGAATTCAGTACGGTTACCTAACACAAAAAAAAATTTTGCAAAAATATAACCAAAAAAGTGATAAAACTTTTTTAGATGTTATTCATATTTTTAAGAAATGTTGGGAACAGAAATTTTCAGATTAAACAAGTTTAAGCTGTTGAAATACATATCTCTGCGAGATTTCACTAGAACTTTTAAAAACTTTCTAGCTGCTCATACCATTTGGCCTTTATCGACAGTTAATTCTTGAGAATTACGAGCTTTAAACGAGTATAAAACTTTCTTTTCAGCTTGTGGAACTTTAACGAATATTTCACTATCATCAAAACCGTCATTGATGTGAAGTGATTGTAAAAAATCTTGTAAGCTTTTGTTGTCGTTCCAAAGTTCTGTTTTTGGCATTAACTGTGGCCGAGTATCTGCAGAAAAACAAAATTCCTTTTTATTGCTTTTATTTAATTATTTCCCCAAAAAAAAATAAAAGATTTTCAAAAAAAGTTTTTTTGGATTTTTTTAACATTGTATAATTTGGCAACTCAACAATGCTTTCCTTTTTTCATTGGGCAGCTACAGCACTTAAGTACTGACCTGCGTAATCGAAGGTTTGTGCTCGTCGTACCTTCACATTTGGTTTACCGGCAAACTTATTCTGCTTTTTTATTCGTTTCTGAAACTGTTCTGATTCTCGCCTGATTACTTTTTGTTTACCTGCAAAAAAACCTAAAATTCTTCATATTGCTAAGTTTATATATATATATATAAACCATTTTGTAGTTTAAAAATTTAACTCATACATTGATGCGTTTGAGCAAAAAGAATAGAATAAAAAGAAAAAATTGCTGAATTACTGTCAGCAGCCACTCTTTGTGGTAGTAAAAGTCGGCAATGAGCATCAGGAAAAAACCCTTTATCGCCTCTTTGGTTTTGTGCATAAATCCAACTATCATCTTTGTAAACTGCTGAAACTGTTTCGCCTTCGTCTACCGAAAGTTCATCAGCAACTGTAGCCCTATTTTATGATAAAAAGTATCAAAATATTTGTAAATTTATTAGAATTGTTTTGCTGAAAGAGACGATCAAAAAGTTTTCAATCAAAAAGCTCAATAACTTTTTGATCATTTTTTTCTTTCGCATTATTTTCTCTTAAAAATAAACTATCACACTGAGATACTTGTTTGGAAAAAATAAAAATGTATTGTACTATAAACCTAAAAGTTTTGGTAACTTGTGCTGTGGTGTATGGAGGAAACGATGAGACATGTTTTGCACAAACCCATGTGGGAAGTTCGTCGTTTAGAAACGACATTGAATACAGTGGATCACCTGAAAACTTTGTCAGTTTCTTCAGTGTTTTCAGAGCTTTACTGA